TGGCCCAATGGTGAGAAGTTTGTTTTCTTGAGGTTGAGATGTAATACATATTGAAGGTTATAGTCTTTCATGGTTTTCTGCAGCAAGTGTTTCCTCATCACTGTCAGCAAGCAGCAAAGTCTAGAAGATAAAGCCATTGTCAGGAGATACAGGGGAGTGAGTTCCATACCTATTTCTCCAGTTTGTTTGGTTGGTTTTTGCTGGTGAAATCAGGTCAGGTTAGAATAACTGGTAGCAATTCTGAGACCTAAAATATACCAAACAGTGCTGAAAGGATGTGTACAAAGACGAGTGGTACAGCCACATTCACTTTGCCTTGGTGACTGCAAATGATCAGATGTGAGTCCTCCATAGCACTTCATAATATAAACAAGGAGCTTAGTGTCCAAATAGCCTGCGTGATTGGCTGTCTGGTCATCAAGGGCTTTGAATACAGAAAGGCCCATCTGGGTCTATACGGTCAATATTTGTCATGTTGTAGTGACTCAGAAAAGCTTCTCAAATGTTTTATATGCTACCAGGTAACACACAAGGAGTTCTGGGGTTCTAGTGGCAGCCACCAGACAAAAGGTCAGCCAGGGAAATCTGCTGGAGGGTTGGCATCAATTCAAGGACAATATGTTTGGCTTGGGCTTTCAGGTAACATACGAAATGTTAGCTATTAAATAATTTTCTAAAAGTGGGGGAGTGTATTTAAAATTTAAATTTTAACTTCATATTTGGTGATAATTTAAACCCCAATGAATGCAAAACTGGTCCTGAATAAGCATATAATGATATAGGAAATGTGTTTACTTTTCTATTTTAGGCAAATAGTGATTTTTCTATTTGTGACATGACTTCATTTTCATCTTTTTCCATCAGGGATTGCTGTGAGGATTTAAGCCAATAACATGTCAATATAGGGCAATACAATATTTAGTTTTTATTTGCACTGTCATACTTTTTTTTCCATTTAAAAACTACAAAAGCAACAACAAAATTGTAAGGCCAAAATTAATTTTGCTTTTTAAAGAAACAAAGCCCACTTTATAATCAGAATCCTGTTGTGGGCTGGTTTCCCCCACCCCCTACATAAAGCAGCATTGAACAATGGTCAGTTATAGACACGTGGATTCCAAGATGCTAAACAAGAATTCATCATGTAAATAAGTTATGTAAATTGAAAATTACAGAGAAGGAATGCAGTAAATTAAGAAAGCTGGACGAATCATTTTTGTTTTAATTACGCTGCTTCAACCTATAAAAGAACCAAAAAAATAGTTTTTTAAATTACTTAAGTTTTTTTTTTTTTAACAATTATCCCCAGTAGGCAAAGGAGGGTTGTTGTTGCTAGGTGCTGTCCAGTCTGACTCATAGCGATCTCTGAACAGCAGACCTGAATCCCTTCCTATCCTGTGCCATCCTCACTATCTCTAATACACTTGCGCTTATTGCTGCAGTCACCATGTACAATCCATCCCTTTTCTAAGAACAGCCTCTCCGAGTAGCATGTCCAAAGTATGAGACAAGACGCTTTGTCATCTTTGTCTCTAAGGAGCACTCTGGCTGCACTTTTTCCAGGACATACCTGTTTGTTCATTTGACAGTCCATAGGGTATTCAGTACTCTTCTCCAACACCACAATCAAAGGTGTCAATTATTCTCCTGTCATCCTCATTCATCATCCAGATCTCAGATGCATAACTGTTGTTATTGTGTAGAGTCAGCACTGACCCATGGCTGATCCTCTGGCAAGTTTTTAGAGGCGGTAAATTACACAGGAGGAGACTGCCCATTGTGCTCTCACAGAGCAGGTGGTGGATTCAAACGGAGTGCCTTCAGGATTGGAATGCAGCTTCTTGCCAGTAGGGCACGAGAGCTCCCTCAGATGCACAGCAAGTAATTGAAAAGACCATGGTTTGAATCAGACACACCTTACTCTTCAAACTGACATCACTGCTCTTCATATTTTGGAGAGATCCCTGACAGCAGACTTGCCCAAAGCAGTATGTCTCCATCTCCTCCCTGCTGGTACCAAGAGTGTCGAGTGTGGATCCACAGGACATTAAAATCATTAAGTTTCAATCCTTTCTCCATATCATGCTATTGCCCACTGGCCCAGTAGGCCCTTTGTTTTCTTGATGTTAACTTACTGAAGACTGCAGTCTTGGATCTTCTGCAACAAGCACTTCGGGTACCCCTCACTTTCAGCAAGCAAGGTTGTATCATTTGCATTGTACAGGTTGTTGGTGAGTCTTCTTTAGATCCTGATGCCACATTCTTCTTCATAAGAGTTTCATTACTAATTTACTCAATGTACAGATTAAATAGGCGTGGAGGGAGAAAAAAATACACCCTTGACACACTTCCCAATTTTAAGTCATACAGTATTTCCCTGCTCCATTCGGATAACAGCTTCTTGGTCTAGGAATAGATTTTACAAAAGCACAATTAAGTGTTCTGTGATTCCCATTCTTCTCAACAAAAAAACACTCATTTCAAAAAATGTTGCTGAATTCAAACAGTGTTAACAAATGTATTACCTGGTGAGTGCCCTATTACCTACCTTTATGCATTGTTATAAAATGCCTTTACAGAGATGATTGAGAATCTATGGATTTCAATGTCTAGCCTCTTGAAGAGACTCTGAAAATTGCACTGGAGCGCAGAGAAGCCAAAGCACAGGGAAGAATTCAAGATACTAAAGAGTTGAATAGAAGATTTCAAAAGGCAGC